GGCATGTGCTGTAAAAGGTGTCAGTGGGCCAGATTATTAAAAAAACAAATAAGCAGCCTAGTGTCAGTGTTCAGCTTTAAATACAGCAAACAAATCTAGAAAGTGCACAACTGTGTTTTAGGACCGCCAATGTGCTCTATAAAAGTAAAACTATAATTACCTTGCTGCGCCTTTTCTGCTTCAGATGCTCGTTTCCGCAGGTACGATTCAACTTCTTCCCATCTCCTTTCTGCATCTTGTATCTGGGCCTAGCATTTACAGCAGATCAAAAAAAGAAAAAACTGTGAGACTACGCAAGACATTTTTTTTTTTTTTTAAATGATGTGCTAACTGTAAAATCCACTAGAGTTGAGTCCACTGAGGGACACAGAAAGACTTTCACCTTCTGGTTATACCGCTGCCTACCTCAAGATTGGACACTGGCAATCAAGAAAAAAAGCCGTAGGCCTTGTTCACACCAAGCGCGTTCCAGGTGCAGAGCAGTTACAGACCGGATCAAAACTGCGTTCAATGTATTTCAATGGTATTTTGGGCTCTAGTTCACATCACAGCGTTCAGTTCCAGAGCATGTAAAAAAACTGCAGCAAGCACTATTTTACCTGCTCTGGAACACATGCAAACGCCCTGGAACACACTAAAAGCCCATCCTAAACTAAGAAGAAATGTTTTTTTTAATTTTAACCAAAAACGGCCCGGAACACATAAAAAACGCGGCAAAAGAGCGCCACAACCCACTGCACTGCGTGTGCAGAAACTCATGCAGGTCTGGTCTGCATTTGGTGTGAACAAGACCTAAGATAGCTCATGATATTTTCTACTACCAGCATGCTTCAGTTTAGTAGTAAATCACTACCAAAAGCATGATCATAAACAGGTGGGATGTCCTTCAATGGATCAAGAAAATAAATAAATAAATCTGTCTAGGACTGGACTGACTTGTTCCAGCACAACATAATATTGGGTTGTAGGGATGTGGAGTGAAACTGGGCAAAAGAGACTACATTGAAGGAGGTTATAAATCGGACTCACAAACAAAATGATGGAGACCAAAAGAAAAGCACAGGAACCGCTAGTGCACTGGAAAGATGGGGACATGTAGGTACACACCCTTGATTTCCACAGAAGCCAAAAGGTCTCCTTGGTGAAGTGAGGCAATAACAAACCTGGTGGACTTGATGAGGAATTTCTGAGCACAAATAAAGACATTCAGTGCACTGGGAAAGTCTTTGCAGTCTTAGGGCTCTAATGTTCCAAAGACTGAGAATAGCACTAGCAGAATCAACAGGCTCATCCACTGGTTTTAGAGTGATGTGTACCACAATAAATGCAAAAACAGTCTCTTCATTTGCAAGTATAAGCAAAAAAGACTGACTCATGGGAGGCAATCTCAGCCAGTAAGGACTAGAGCAGGGGTGGGCAAACTCCGGCCCTCCAGCTGCTGTGGAACTACAAATCCCATGAGGCATTGCAAGATTCTCACAGGCATGTCTCCCAGTGACCGATGCATCATGGTATTTGTAGTTTCTCCATAGATGGAGGGCCGCAGTTTGCCCACCCCTGGACTAGAGTCACCCAGAATAAGTCTCAGCAGCCGATGGCTCGAGGCCACGTGCAGATCAGTTACAGAATCTGCAGGGCAAAGTACAGGAGCATGCCTGTACCCTCTGATTATAGTCAGGAAATAAGGTGATTTGAGCCAAAAAGACACGCGTGTTTGTAGTGAAGATCAAGCAGAGAGGTCAGAAAAGCCAGCCACACCCGACAGAGCTAGGGACGACTTTGAAATTGGAAAAGGCTCTAGAATCAGAGGGCCACATGATTCCAGGCTGCAGACAGACATCGTGGGCTGGCCTACATTGTGTTTGCCAACATCCAATTCTCCTGTACACAGCAGTATAACCAGAGAAAGAAATGTATTTCAGCTGGAGTTGGGCTTTTAACAATACACCCAAGTATTAAAATGTGCACACTCACTATTCTACGATATATTCTGTCAAGGAAGTACTGAAGACGTCACGTGAACTGGACATTTTCTCACCTTCAACCCAGCCACCGCCTGCTCTTGATTCTTCTTCTGCAGTTCCTCCTGAGCCAAACTGCTGTTCTTATCATTCAATTCCTTCACGAGCCTGGCATAATCCTGACGCAACTTAATAAGCTCATTTGACTGCCTTGGGGAAAAAAAGAAACAGGACTCCTCAGTATTATATTGTATATCTAAAGATCTAATGCCATAAAAGCCATGCTATCAAAACAGAACTATATTAAAGACTGAGCACTGAACTGCATGCACAATGAGCAAACGCCCTTAAAACATTCACAAAAACACAGCAAACGCGCGTTGAAGCGTTTCCTATTGAGTCTATGGGGCCAAAAACAAGCTGTGATAGGCCAAAAAAAAAGCTCATGTACTTTTTCCAGCCACAGGCGCTTTGCTTATTGCGACAAAGCGCTCAGATGCGGACAGGGCCATAGTAACGAATGGGATTTTTTTTGCGTTTTTTTAGGGAAGAAAAAGCCTAGTGTGAAGCAGGCCTTAGATTGTAGCATGATGCTAGATACTAATGTGGTGGTAGATGGTAGCATTTGTTGCTGGGCCTAGATTGACTGCACTCAGTAGAATAGTAAAATTTGACTGTCCGACAATGAACAATCTCCCTTTCTCTTTTTTCCTGATATATTGTGGATTATAGAAATTAAGAAAAAAAACGTGAATTTCAGGTAATTGGGTAGCAGTTAAAACAGGCATTTAATGACTTTGTAATGCATTTATAGCTGGACTAAAGAACGGCTTAATTTGTGTCAGGTGTTCTGCATTAATTGTGATGAAGTGCTCTGCTGCTCTTAATTTAATAGTCTTTTAATTCTAACATCTGCAAATGATGTAATTTAAACCTACAAAGGCTCTAGAGTGTGCTCTGCCATAACAGATGGCTTGCCTGCAGAAGTATACATACTTGCTTTCCATCTGATTGGTGGCTGAGCTCACTGCATCCCGTAGGATACCATTTTCCTGCTTCAAGTGGGCAAGCTGATTCTCCAACTGCTCCCGCACCTGCTGGAACTACGCATGGGGGAAAAAAAAAGATAGGTTAATTCCCCTTATACAAATATGTTACAGTGCACTATACCAAAATATACAAGCATCTAGTGAAAATAAGATTCTTCTTGCACAACAAAATCCACATATATGAAAACACATAAAATGCCAACCCTGACCAAAATGAAAAAATTATAATAACTTTGAACAACTTGTCAGAATAGCCTAACCTCTGCTTCGTTCGGCCGAGAAATTTCCAACTGGCTCCTTTGATCAGCTGATCGAGGGATCCCAGGCAAAAGGGTGCCGGCAGCAATACCCACGCAGTGGCTTTCGGGCACGAACTGGCCGAAATGCAAAGCGTGTATACCCGATTTAAACCTTCACTCTTAAAGAGCTATTGATGCTCCAGCTATTGGGCGTCAGATAACGTATCCCTGCCAAGTGCTGTAGTTTCCCCAGTTGGCTGCTACATCTGTAATGGATACAGTGGTGGTGCAGTAGGTGGCTGTAGTAACCACCTCGGCTGGCAGGAGCTACCGCAATCCCCAGCAAGGAACACGATATCCAACATGCCAGAAGCATCATTTAATAATTGCACAAAGCTTTTCAGAAGAGCAAAGATTTAAAGAGTCCATGCTGCCAGACAATTCATTTCAACAACAATCTTCCTATTTTACTCATTTACCTGTGAAAGCCTCCCTTTTACAGACATCCAACAGCTCTGAGACTGCTGATGGGTGCCGCCATCTTGGATGTCATGTCAGCAGCCCTAGCAGACTCAAAGCTCTCACTAAAGTGACAGTCTCTAGTATTCGCCTTCACTCCTCCCCGATACACAAAGGGTATGTAGGGAGGTAAGAGGTGTAGGGGCTGAGCCAGCACAGACATTAGACACTATCAGAAGAGGAGGAAAGAACTATGACATGCAAGGAGGGAGGGGGCTGAGCAAGGGAAATCTAGAAGATATGTTGTCCGCACACCATTCTGCAACAGAACGCCATCTTTATCCGTATTCCTTTAGCATGACATGTGAATGCAATGTTTTCGAGCCTCACAGGAACCCTTCGTCAGTCATAGTGTGACAATGGTGTGCAGACAACATTTCTTCTAGATTGTATATTGTGGTGCCATCCACCAGTTGTTCCAGCACCCGTTGGATTCTGGGGTACATCCGTACCGGGTGCGAAGGTGATATTACAAAGACACATGCAAGGGAAATTACACTGTAGGAAGTTCAAAAGGCACATTGCAAGTAATAAAAAAATAAAAATGACGGAAAGGAAACATGCTGCAAGTAAGCAATTAAGACTATTCATTTTTCTGCGATATTTCAAGCATTTTGTATAAGTTGGTGACAGGGTCTCCCTAACAAAGTGCTCACCAAGATGGCTTTGTTTTATGATTATTTTTTTCCCCCCCTCACTGAGTGGGTCAAGCTTTTGCTGCCTCCTCCTGTAAATCAGGTTCCCCCATCCTACTGTCCTGTCTATAAAAACCTGAATTCAAAATGCAGTAGCTGCTCTCTGCATTAATCATTACACAGAGCACTGCTTTAATAAATGCGTGAGAATAACTCACTACTTCCTCAGGTTGATGACAGTGCAATATAAAAGAATAGCTACAGATTTAGCAGTAAAAGCAGCAGCAGTAGTAAAAGTAACAACAACAGGGTAGGAACAATAACCTGTTAGGTTACATAGACCATCTCATTTGCCTCTTCCCATAAACATGTCATTGTGACTGGCTGTACACAGTGGTCTCTTGCTCTGAGGGAGGACAAGGTTTATTTATAACTGAGGAGCTACGCACAGGTACGCCTAAGGATGCCTCAGAGGCACCATCTGTTCTCAGATTACATTCCGTCTTGGTATTAGACGAAGCTGAGCCACAGTTGAGTCCATATCTATAAACATAACATCTGTGCTTAGGGTTATTTAAAGCAGCACTGGGATTAGATGTGTCACCAATAAGAAGCAGATGACGAGGCACTGTGCTGCAAAGTACATCAAGATGAGCACAGCATTACAGTGCATACAGGAGTCAGCACAAGGACAATCAGACATTTGAGTACGATGGAAGAACAAGAAAGAATAATGAAGGCTACAAGTCTGCTCAGTATCCCGAGGTCAACAATTCATATACGACTATTGAGTTTTCGCACATGAGTAGCTCATCTGTCAATTGTGCAATCAGTGTTAAAGGGAAAGCACTGTACAGTCTTTTAAATATTTTATGGTACACATCAGTTTGATGTAAATCATATGAATATTTCTGAATGTTTTTAAGGAGAACTATGGGGTTAAGGTTTTTCCCCATAGTTCTCCTTAGGGTAACAGGAGGACACAAACTAGCGTCCTCCCGTCCCCCTAGGCTGTAGCTCCCGGTATACTGAGACACCGCAGCTGAAGCGGATTCCGACAATTATGCCGGGATCCGCCCAGCTGCGTGATTGACAGCTGGTTCTGCCTATCTAGAGGCAGAGCCAGTTGTACCCGCCCCCTCCCCCAGTCAGCGCTATCGGAGCGGGGAGGGGGGAATCCAGCCCCTCCCCTGTCATGGCAGAGAGCCGTGACAGGATCGAGAGGTGAGCGAACCCGGTATGTGTTCGCTCACCTCCCGATCTACTGAGCCGACCTGTGACAGTCTCATTGTCACAGGTCGGCTAGAACTAGGAGGTGAGTGAAAAGCACTCACCTCATAGTTCTCCTTTAAAACCCTTGTTTCTAGGTCTTGTTTACAATTGTAGGTGTGCACCGGGACAGCCATATTTGCCCATTACATAGGCAGGCTTGGCATGCTGCTGTGCAGAGCTACACAATGGTTTTGCATTACTTCAAATTCTCTAAGAAAAGTATCAAATTCTCTGCATCTGGGGATTCCAAAAATCATTCAAAAGGGCTAACCCCCCGCCGTTTGGTAATAGTTTGTCATATTTTGAAATGTTCAATTGCATTTTTTATTTAATCATAAAAGCCCAGAGTGCCAGAGTGGGCATCGAAGCTGCACACCTGACCAGATCTTTCAGTTGTGGAATGGGTAGAGAGATCATTAGAGATGTACACATTATGAATTGAATTGAAGTAACAAAAGGCTTTTGCACGAATACTTGAGTTACCTTGCCCATGACCATTACAGAGCTCCTTTGTCATTACTTCTGCCTCCAAAGCCGGCTGCAATACAATGCAGTTCTGGATATGGAGGAAGAGGTGACCTCCTCCATTGCAACAATGCTCGGGTCTAGCAGTCATTTGAAGGCTGGAGCACTTTCACGTCACTGAGGGAGCAATGTTACCTCTGCCCTGGTTTGCTGACACCAGTCCTTTTACTACCGGCCGCAGAGGAGCAAAGAGCGTGATGGAGTGCTGGCAAGGTGAGTATAGAGGGGTCCAAGGAAGGGGGGGGATCCTTTGAGGAAACAATGCCACTTTAACGTCCTTGGGGTGACTGTCTTTTTAAAGCGTTTTAAAAGGCTCAAAATAAAAATTTCACTCTAATGCCTGCTGTGGCAGAGCACCTTGTAGCAACCATAGCGCCTACACTTCAGTGTAGTGGAGGATAATAGGTCACTCAATGCATTGTGGGACAGGGAAGAGCATGCCTACCAGCCCAGGCACAGCCACATGGGAGGGGTTGTCTATAACTATGCTAAAAGAGCATAGATACTACTTAGGCAATTTTATGGGGTGCTGCAAGCTGCACAGTGCTCTTATCTCTACTAAGCCTTCTGGTTTATAGGCTTGCCTTTTCCCACAGCTTTCACGAAAACCCAGCAATCCGACTGCAAATATCAGCAACTCGCATAGATTAAAGCACAGGTCCAGAACAAACCTACAAGCAGCTTTCCATAATGCAGAATGTCCAGCATGATTGCTTTCTTTAAAGTGGACCTTAACACTCTTACCTTAATCTCCCTGTCTCCCTCCACCGCAATCTTTTTTTAAATGAAAACCCGGAGGTGGGTCATTGGGGGCTTGCTGGCTGAAGCCAGAAACAGGCTTTAAGCAAAGCATGAATGAGAGTGCCTGTCTACAACTTCACAGAACTACTCTAATTCTTCACTCCCTTTGCTCTTACCTTAACTTGCAGTTGCTGAGCATCCTGAAAGCCGCTGTGCAATTTGCTTTGAAAAACTCCATTTTCCTTCTCCAGCACGCCGATTCGCTCCCGAGCCTTCGCATCTACCAAACTTAACTTTTGTTTTTCAGTTACCAATTCCTAGATGAGAATATACAAAAAGTTGCAGGTTATGACATGCAAAAATTCCTGCATCACAAAGGCAAATACACTTCATAAAAGGACAAATGACAAAAATTAACATTTCGTATTTCAAATAACACAGTTGATCCTCCGAGGAATCATCTGACAAGAAGCTGCAGTACTGCACACAATCCCTTTTAAAAGTAGGAGCATGACTGATTTGATTGTTTAAAACCTCAAATAAGTTGAGTTTTTTGTTTCTGGGCTACCATCAGTAGTTCTCCGACTGACTTTAGCGCTGTCATCATGTAGAATTCCTATCAGATCGCTTATTATCAGAAATGGGAATCATTTAGAGCCCGTTCAAACCGGGCAGTTGCAGATCAGCGCGGTTACCCTGCTGATTTCAAAAGGGAGGTTTTGGGAGTTTTTAATTACATCTCAGCACTGAAACGCAATTAAAAAGGGTCAAAACCGCGCTGATCAGCATTGAAAGCTGTACGGAATGATTCAATTGAAAGCTGTACGGAAACCGCACTGATCAGTGCGGCAAAAATAGTGCAGGGAGCAGTTCGGGTGAGGGGCGGTTCGGATAGCGCTGAGCCGCGCAGTCTCATGAACAGTCTCTATATCAATGTAAGGAATCGTTCATGTCGGCGGATCCGCTTGGCCGAACTGCCCCCGGTGTTAAAGCTGCAGCTCATCAAAAACATAGATATTGCTGATTTCAGTACATATTGGAAATAAAAATGACAAAAAAAAGTTCAGTCCTGTAAAAGAAGAGGTACTACACTTGCCTCTCCAGCGGCCTGTGCTTTAAAACATCCCTGCAGAAAGTCGCTGCAGGTATTCAACCAGTTAGAGTGGTTAAATACCTGCTCCACGCCATTGTCCCTGCGCAGACTTGCACGCGTAACACAGGACAAACCATTGGGTTTGGCTGGAGAAGCAAGTATTTTTTTTCCTAGGTGACCCTAGTGTGGTAGGGTCTCTAACCCTTTCACTGCCGGGGCCATCTTTTTAAAAGAAATTTGCACACAGTAAAATGAACATATTAGGCCTGAATATTAATAAAATCTTCAAAACATTATATAGTTTCTGAAAGATACGACCCTGGAGAATAAAATGTTGGCAGCTGTGAATTTATGTCACTTAATAATTGCACTGCTGTATAGCAAATGTAAATGAAAACAGTTTAGACTTAACAGTGAATGATGGCCCTAGAATTACTGCTCTCATTACAGTGTGCACGGCAATACCTAATATGTGTGGTGCAATCCTTGTTTTCATATGTGTGCGCATGCATTTGGGGGTGCTTTTAGAATTTTTGGGGGTGTCTAGTTTATTTCACTTAAGTTTTGAATACTTTTTTTTTTCTTTTTTAACCTATTTTTATTGCCATCACAAGAGAGCTGCTATAGTGTCATTTAAGCTGGAACAAGGGGGCTGCCATAGCGGCCGGGAGTTTGCGTACTTGCCGGCATTCTTGCAGACATAATAGTGACGTCGGTGGCAGCAAAAGGGCTGGCACTTTTCTGCATCTTCCAGAGATATCTGTACTTGCCTTCAAGGGTCTACACATCTGCTGCAAATGTTTTTTTTTTTTTTTTTTACAGAGTAGGAATTTAGAACACGTAGATAGGTTGGAACACCCAAGTTTACAGGAAAATTGGGAATTATAGGAATAGGATATGTGGGAAGCCTGTCTCAGCCTTCCATGTTCCACCTATATACTGTATTAAAGGAGAATTATGAGGTGAGTGATCTTCGCTCACCCTCATAATCTGAGCCGACCTGTGACAATGAAACTGTCACAGGTCGGCTCAGTAGATCGAGAAGTGAGCGAACACATACTGCCGCTCACTTCTCAATCTATCCCTGCAGAGAGCCGTGACTGTCACTCACGGCTCCCTGCAGGGATTCCCCCCTCCCCTGTCCGATCTTCCGGCGCTGACTGGCGAAACGGACGGGGGAGGGGGCGGGCACAGCTGCCTCTGCCTCTAGATAGGCAGAGCCAGCTGTCACTCACGCAGCTGGGTGGATCCAGACAGTATTGTCAGGATCCATTCCGGCTGCGGCGTCTTAGTATATCGCGAGCAATAGCTGAGCCGAGTATACTGAGCTTTGGGTCACAGGAGAACGCTAGTTTGTGTTCTCCCGTGACCCTTAAGAGAACTATGGGGAAAAGACCTTGACCCCATAGTTCTCCTTTAAGGCATCATACTACGGCTTCTCAATAAATGTCTACAATGACTAATTGAGATGTGTTCAGGCATGATTTACTGCATTGCCCGAAACGTCTGCTTTGTAGCGGAATTTTAAACTCAATGCAAACCATGCAATCAAAAAAGCAGAACCACCCTCCTATTATTGTTTAACAGCAGCTCCAAAAAGAGATTTAGTTGCAGGAGAACATTGTAGCAAAAAATGGGGAGGAAGGCAATCTGGTCTATGATGAATATACCACAGATACGAGTTGTGTTAACAGAGTTTTATATTATGGTAAATCAAGTTTTGTGCTACATGTATAATTGTGCGGTTTATATATTACATTTGATTATTACATTTTTTTCAGAGTCTCTTTATTATGATAAAATTCCTAAAAAAAAACACATTTATTCTACAGTTACTAAAATGACTCGATCATAAAAAAAGACAGCCTTTGAAAACAACTTCGTAACGTCACGACAGAGAAGTGAAATAATTGCATCAACCCTGCCAACGGATTTCTTTATAATTAGGGAAACAGTGAACACAACAGGTGTGACTAGAACTTTCCACTGTAACCACCAAGCTGCAGACTTTCCATATGGCTCACTGCTAAAACTGAATCACTCCGGACAAACTTTTACCAGTTTAGATTAATAGTTTCGAACTTCAGCATAAACCACATATCCACTCAACCAACCAATCATTTTTAAACAAACTCTACAATTATCTAAAGGGACCCTGGAACATCCATTACATGGCGCAGCCCAGATTCCCATCAAGCCCGTGAGTCATTGTTTGAATGCTGTAAGTGATGCTGGCTCTGGGACAGGGGCACCTCGGTTAATGCTGCTATAGAAGTCCGCTGTGCTTTGAAGCAGCAACAGTTCCAAAGAGTCAGGCAATGGAAGCATGTAAACTAGATGGAAGCCTAAGTATCATTATATACATTCAAGTCCCTTAACTATTACCAAAAATGTATCTTATTTGTGCATCACTCAGCTGTAGTTCCTCCAATCGTCTCTGAATTGGTGCTGACACTGTACTTCCTTCTGGAGGGTGGCTACTATTGTTCTCCATGATCCCTGTGTGTGTTGTAAAGTAGCCACAGTTTCAAGCTCGCTCCTGTGATAGACTACAATCTCATGTTTATTTTTCTAATTTTGTATTGAGATTGTAGTCCATCACAGGAGCGAGCTTGAAACTGTGGCTACTCAACACACACAGGGACCATGGGGAACCAAAGTTGCCACCCTCCAGAAGGAAGGACGGTGTCAGCACCAATTCAGAGATGATTTGATGATCTACAGACGAGTAATACGCAGATAAGTTAAATTTTTGTTCATAGTTAAGGTACTTGAATGCATTTTTAAGATTTAACTCCTGAGTTTAGTGTCACTTTAAGCCTGTCTTTATAGAAAAAAAAATGTTGCAGGTGAAAAAGTACCTTTACATTCTTTCAGCAGCTTCAATAAGCCTGCAGATACAGCTGAATTCCAGGCTACTCTGACAGGCAAAGCGGACATGTCTGGGTAGAGTTGAAGGTTCCTGCCAAGCCCTGTTCCCTCACGTTCCTCTTGGCGCATAACTATGATTGAATGCCTCACTGGCCAAAAGGAATGTGCAGGAGGCTAATGTCTGAGAGTAGATACTTTATCCCAGTCAGAGTTCTCCAAGCCCCAAAGACACAGATAGTGTGCGCCGATCAGACAGGACACCATATTACCTGTGTGAGCTGCTTGCACTGCTCCTTGACAATTGCAGCCTCATCCCTGGCAGCAGCCAACTGCTTCTCCCTCTCTTGTATCTGCAATGCCGCAGCGGAGTTTCCCTTATTGGCCTAAAAGAAATTATTGAAAGAACAGTAAAAACCAGAGTGAAAATGTTTCACATATTATACTGTATGTAATATTATACATTCTACAGGTATTGTAAGCCATCCATTAGGACAAATGGAAGGTAACAATCTAACAAAAAGTAAGTGGCAAAACTTCACATAAATCTACAACGAACATCAAAGTGTCAGTTAGGGATGATGTATTCTAAAACGTTATCTGAAATTCTAGACATGTCAGCATGCGAAAATCACTTTCCTAAAGATGAATGCAGGGTGCGACTAGGGATGCATCGATACCAGTTTTTCGGTATTGGGTACTGATATTTTTTTTTCCCGGTACTCACTGATACCGAATACAGATACCAGAAGTAACATTAAGATGGCAAAAACGGGGGGAAAAGGAGTAACGCTAAGAAAAGAAAAAATATATATAAATATAATTATGGGCAGAGCTTCAGGGTTTCAGAAAAATGTATTCAAACAGCGCAAACCCCCTAGCATAGAAATCCCATAGTAGGAGCCCTCCAATAATTCGATATTCAAGTATAATATAAAGTGCATCCAAACATATTTATTTAAACATTGCAACACATAAAGATAAATCACCTCATTACATTTAAAACTTATTTAAAAATCGCATAGCTTCCCTGAAGTCACTCAATGTGGGACAGAAATAAACAGAAACAAACGTTTGTTGGGGGGAAACGCGTCAAGGGTTCAGCGTGTGACTAGCTTCCCTGAGGACCCAGGACTTACTACTTGTATGTTATCGCAGTATGTGATCGAGCAGGAGAGCCTCTGCTATACCGATAGTATTGAGCGAGGCCCGCTCAAGCAACACAGCGACAGCGGAGATCACCAATTTCTAATCCCTGATCAAGCACATCACTGGATACCTTGCCCGTGGAACATCGTTCACCCCCGTTCCAAGGTGCGGCCGCACTTGCAGGGGAATTGTCGGGCCACCTGTCCACAGTAGATGTGAAGTGAAACAGGTCGGGATCAAACTCAATGGAAGTTGGTGCAAGTGGTGGAAACATTTAAGCGATCAGCAGGATTACAAATGTTTTTTGAATAAAAAACCTTTACTAAGAATACCACTGGAATATCTATCATAGAAGTACGGACTCTTTCCCTTGTGGCCACAAGTGAGGAACAAGTGAGTAATCCCTATCATCATATGCTGATACATTAGTATCCACCACCTCATAACGGTGTATCCGTTCATATCAATGACTGCTGCTCTGCCCTGCGGGTATTTCAACCCTGTTTATTTGTGTCCCACATTGAGTCACTTCAGGGAAGCTATGCGATTTTTAAATAAGTTTTAAATGTAATGAGGTGATTTATCTTTATGTGTTGCAATGTTTAAATAAATATGTTTGGATGCACATTATACTTGAATATCGAATTATTGGAGGGCTCCTACTATGGGATTTCTATGCTAGGGGGTTTGCGCTGTTTGAATAGCATTAAGATGCTGGGGTAGCATGGAGCCAGGTTTCTGGCCAATCAGGAAGCCAGGGTGGGTAATGACTCGCCACCCAGCTTCCCAACTAATAAGGAAGCCGGGCCGCAAGTCATTACACGCTGCCCAGCTTCCTGGTTGGCTGGGAAGCCGACTCCATGCTCCCTTGTCACCAAGTGACGTGGAAACATGGAGTCGGCTTCCTGGACAAATCAGGAATCCGGATGGAGGGGCAGGCATTACATGCCCCCCGGCTTCCCGATTGGCCGGGAAGCCAACCCCATGGTGACGAGAGAGCATGGAGCCGGCTTCCTGATACTGGAAGTTTTGTTATTGGGAGCATTTGGGCAAGTACAAGTACTCGGTATCGCAGCATTCCTAGGTGCAACAAACACACAGCATAGATAAAGCGCATGAGACAGAGAGAGATATTGCAGCAAGACATGCAAATTGGACATCACAACAAAGTTTCCCATACAGGTAATTACACAGATTTTATGTCCCTGCTAATAAACAATGCCAATGTATATATTTACACCTTATGAAGCTTTACTTAACTTGACTGCATGGCAATGTGCATATAGTAAGTATATTACCAACACCACCACCAATATAAGAAGACTGCAACAGAGATACTGGGGATACTACAGCTGATGCAACATCCAGTCTAAAAGGTGCCCATACACCTTACGATTATCGGACCATAAATCGTATGCGATCGACTTTTCGAATAGAATAGAGTGTGAATAGAGTGCCCGAACCGACATTACTGTACAATCGTACGACTTTTGACGGTCAAGCATGTTTGAAAACTTTGCTCGATCGTACGATTGTCGTAAGGTTGCTGGCGTTTCCGTCCGTCAAAAGTCGTACGATCTACACTGCGCATGCGCAAACGAAAATACGACAAATCAATTACCACATTTCGTCCAGGTGCTTCTCGTTAATTACGGCTAAATTAATCTTGCGATCATCGGGGCAGGATGGGGCTGTCGTGCAAAAATCGTACGACTATTCGATCATCGGACGAAACCTTTCGTCCGATGTAAGGTGTATGGGCACCTTTACTCTCCTCAGGGATTAGCGTGTAATAAAACAACCATTTACTACTGTGGTTGTCAGATTATCCATGAGAATTAATTTGCATACTCAAGAATTACACACACACCTCAACAGAAACAACACGTTTTTACTAATATGTTTGCACATATTTATAGCATGCCCATAGATCTCCGATTTGGCTAAATCTGGAGTGGTGTTATATCAAAGACTTTTAATAAGGCAGCTTGCAAAACTGCCCGGAAACGTAAGAGAAAATAAAAATACGAAATACAACCAGCAACTCTTCAGCCATAAAGAAGCTCATTTGAATTTGTTCCCTTTCCTACAACTGCGAACAAAACTACAATAGGCAAATGACAATCTACAGAATCTATTGTGATATTTCCTACAGAGGCTGACACAAACCGTTCCACGATGCTGGCGTTCACCCAACCCTGAAATAAAACCCGCCCTCATTTAGGATTTCTATTAGTAGATCAGGAAATATTCACTGAGGGCTAAGAGAAATAGTTGCTTTCCTTCACAAGCGCTCAGCAGATAGTGATCGGCATGAAGATAGAAAGCTGTAAGATACCAACATGTTCTATGCTTTACACAATGCATTCCATGCTCCTCGGAGACCAGGTGCTGTGTAGAGCTTAATAAAGAAACCTACAGACTACTAATCACTGTTTACCTGCAAGACAAAAAATACTGCAACACCTATATTACAAGATTTATAATTAAAATGTGTCAAATGCTTAATGAAGCTGAACTCCAGCTTTACCTTTAGTCCTGTACACTTGTATAGGCTCCGTGCCTGTACAAACATTGCTTGCTCTGATTTAACTGCACCCTCTCACAGCTTCTCAGTGTGCACAGTTTAGAAGCTGCAGCAAGTCCGAATCATTTCCGGGGCAGGCAGCATCTAGCACAGGGGCGGGCAACTCCGGCCCTCCAGCTGTGCTTTAACTACAAACCCCAACATGCTTCTGCGAGTCATGCCTGTAACTGGCAGTCTTGCAATGCCTCATGGGCCTAGTAGTTCCATAACAGCTGGCGGGCCAGGGCTGCCCGCACCTGGTCTAGCATCATCAATTCCTTTCCTGTCCTTGGCTCACCCTTTTAAATTTCGGATTGTAGTTATTTAAGCATGACACTAAATATGCACCCAAACCTTTATTATAGAAGGATCCAAGGGCAGCCCCCATCTTTACTATTCTACCGTTTTAAGTTCACTAATAAACGTACAAATGTGCAAATTAAAAAAAACTAAATCCAGGCCAATAATCTTCCAGCCTTTATATACACTTTGTGGCAAAGGGAATGAATACCGGCCTTTAAAGCGGCTGGAATTTCCCCCCAGTGGCAGAGGTCTTTAGGCTATAGCAAACCCTCAGAACTAAATTGGCTTTCAGCAAATTAATGGGGCAATATGGGTCATCTTACCTTGTGTACCAAATCCTTCACAGAAATGGATTTGTCTTTCATCATCTCCACCACAGACATAGCCTCATCATCTGAGAAAATCATGCTCCTTAGGGTTGCCACAAAATCCTTAAATTTCACCTCGGCATTTTCTGAAAAAGAAAGTGCAAAGAGGATATTATAAAAGAATGCACAGCATACAGAAGGAATGCTTTAAGGCATGGCTCTGCCCCCCCCCCGAGCACAGCCCATCATGGCCTGATACTTTCCTCCATCAGCAGTCTTCACTGTACAGCTCTGTCCAGAGCCACAGCTTTTTCTCTTCTTCCTGTGCAAGTGTGGCATGGCCCAATTCATTCCTATGGGGCGAGCCATACTCTACAGGTTGGAGGAGGATGCCACGATTACAGCTCCCTGGAGAAATTAATGGGGTGTTGGCAGCAAGCAAAGGATGAAGACGACCCAGCTAATGGTGCTTTCTGCAGAGAGGTTGTGCAAAACCGTTGAAGATCACTGGAATAGGGGCAGATGGGGCTGCACTCAGGGAGCGGCCATGCCCTAAAGGACAACTTCTACCCAAAGTATAATTGTCCTTCACTCAGCATTACCTTAAAAACACACACAGTTGTCAGTAAAGAGATAAGAAAAGCCTGGCATTACCTTTGTGCTCACCTTTGTCGGTAACGTTCTTGCCCTTCTTGCCACCACTTTTCTGGGTCACTTCTGGTATCCCTGCTTTTTCAAAATTCCTAACTTCTCTCTTTTCCACCAGAGGAGGCTCAGAGTTGTCCATCAGGGGGATATACACTGAGGGCTCAATTAGTGGCTCTTCCACCAGCGCTGAAACTGACAAAAGAGTTGTGATTTAAAACGCCACAGGGTCTTTATAATTTACAAGTAAAGGTAAGGCAGGACTTATAAATGTACATGGATAATTCGGTCTGCCAAAAGATAGAGGAACACTACCAGATCTGAGAGCCTATTCAGCATTTAACTTTTACAGCGCTCCTTATTCTCTCATTATGGGAACAAGGGTGAGGCAAGTATATCAAGCTGGCCATTATTTATCAAGAATAGGGATGCACCAATACTGTTTTTTCGGTATAGACTACCGATTTTTTTTTCCAGTGCTCGCCGATGCCGAATACCAATGCCAGAAGTCCCATTAAGGAAGTTGGGCGGTGTGTAATAACTCGCCGCCCCCAGCTTCCTGATTAGCCTCAAAGCATTCTCCACGCTCCCTAGTCACCAGGTGACGAGGAAGCACGGAGCCGGCTTTCTGGCCAATCAGGTGGGTGGGTATTTACTGGCCTCCTGATGGGACAGCTTCCCAACCAATAAGGAAGCTGGGTGGCGAGTCATTACACGGCGCTCGGCTTCCTGACTGGACGGGAAGCCGGCTCCATGCTACCTGGTCACGAGGTGTAGTCACCCAAATACTCGGTATCTGTGCATCTCTAATCAAGAACCTACCTCTCATCAGTCACTACTCTCATAGTAAATCAGCTAATTCATAATATAAAATATACCTGATGCACTATGGGGGAAAACACTGAATTGGCCCCATACAGGCTGGCAGGTGCTCAGCACAAATTTAGCAGACACAGGGAATCCTATTATATTAACTATGTTGGTATTGGTTAGCAGACAATAGGCTCAAATCACGAACCATGACATAAGGATAAGAATCTTTATTTTCAGCCATGTGACTATCATTATATCAAGACATCATCAACATATCAGTCACTCATTCGAAAGTAACTCTTTTAGGTTTGTGAATTGAGCTGAGTGTCCAGCGGCAAATGGCATAGAAATAGGGGCGCCAATTAAAAAAATTGCCCGCAGTTGGGTTTTAAAACCTTAAAAAGGACCCTTGTGCTGCCAAGGGCTTCTTTTTTTTTTTAGTTTTTTTGCACACATCCACATTTTAGGCCTAAAAATGACTTCAAACCCCCAAACATTATATCTTTTCAGAAAGCCAAGAATCTGTAAAATAAAATGGTGGCAGTTGCAAATTTGTAGGTTGCACGATATTAGCGCAACACTTTATCAAACCCAAAAATTTTGAAAAACACAATACCCACTTTTTGGGGTACAATAAAAAGGGGAGGTTACAACGAGCAAATAGACACCCAACATGTCCAGGTAAAAAATTGTGTGCATCTGTGAAACGGCGACAAAATTCAATACCCTAAAAAGACGACGCTTTGAAAGCCCCTGCAGGTCATCAGTTTAGAGATGCGCGTAAATATCAGCCCTAGAATTATTGCTCTCTCTGGTGTGCACGGCGATACCAAACATGTGTAGTGCGATCGTCGTTTTCATATGTAGACGCACCCCGACATGTGTTTATGTGAATACACGCATGCTCGCGGGGGCAAGGGACTTTAAAATAATTTTTTTATTTTTACATTTATTTTATTTCATATTTTTAACAACTTTTTTTTACTTTATTTGCCATCACTTATGAGGGCTTACAAGCCCCCTATGTGATAGCATATTGGTGGAGACAAGTCCTCTTTAAGGTGACACCAGGGGTCCAAAAGACCCCTAGTATCACCTTTCCATTCTTAATAAGCTATTGAAGTGCAGATCACTCTTCAATAGCTTATTGCTGGGCTTCAGTAGCTGAAGAATGACAGCTAAGGGACCGGAAGTGATGTAATATGCATTGATGAATGGAAGCTCGCTGCCAATGACGTCCTATGTACATCACTGGTTGCTAAGGGGTTAATGAAGCTCTCCCTTAGAAGCCATTTTATAAAGAAACACTGTGGCTCACCACTAAATCAGCACTTTCAAATAATAAAAGGACTAGACAAACTGCAAAGCCACTTCTCTATTATAGGTCTGCATTTTTAAATGCACAGGCAGCATTTTGAAGGACAATCTACGCCGCCAAAGCCATTCTTGGTGAGTTTCCATGGTGATCTGTAAGACGCTGGTTTATTCCCAATTCCACTTTAGCACTACTTACAGTTCTCCTTTTTCTGTTTCTTCTTCGGTGCCGTCTTCTTTCCTGACCCAGGTTCTTGTGGCTTCACCTCTGCCATCGGAATGAGCGATTCCTGCCTCTTGGATGGCACCACCTGCTCATTTTTCGGTCCTGGGCTGATAGGGGAGTCATCTAAACAAAAACAAACAAAAACACATGTAAAGCTTGACAGTCTGGAAATGGTGATCAGTTGTATTGAGAGAAATATAAAATTGACCATGGGGTATTCCTGAACCAGTGCAATCAATATTTTCCCAATGGCTGCATGAATTCCTTACTGCAGCTTTCAATTATTGCGGTCGAGCCTTCAACAAGCATGCAAAGATAGTACATATTCACAGAGTCAGAACAGCACAATAAAACAAAACTGAGCTCAAAAAAGGTAAAGATGTATTCCAGGGGGGGACAGAGCTTTGCGGAACTATCAAATAATTAACAGGCAGCTTGTATAACACCCCACCGTTTCCATGCTGCCTACCCACTGCTACCATTTGCATTGCATACTATTTAGCACAAGTCAGCATTTAAATACTGGTCTTTACTTGGTTTCGTACACGTCATGTGACTGCAAAACCCCGGACTCAAGCATTATGTGTCGGTGATGGGAGGAAATTCTCTCGCCCACTAACAATGGAGTAATGGACGCCAATGGAGGACATCACTGCTCCATGGAATTCAGCCCCATTGACTGTGCGCGATAACATGACCGCAAAGAAAACAAGGCATTTAAAAGGCTAAAACATATGCAGTGCAATGGGGAGGCAGCGTGTAAAAGGTGAGATGTCATATAGGCAGAACTACAACAATACAAGCAGCATCTAGGATATGGAAATATTTGCTTCTCTTTAGTTCATCATGGCAAAGCATACTTCCGGGTATGGAGAAGCACGAGACTTAGTCATGTGATTGTGTCGGACCAATCACAGATAAATCCATAGTCCATTGAGGGCCATTACTCCAGTGATTTGTAGCTTACACGGGGCTCCGGAGATTGGCTGGAGCAGCGGGGCAGCAAAAGGGTAACCAGTGTAAGCGTCTATGGAGGTTAGCATTACAGGAACCCGTTTTGCCCTGCATGGGGCTGTTTCACCAGGTACCTCACAGGTTGTGCTATTCCCCAAAAGCTTAATTTTTGAGAAAGGTTTAAAAGAAGAAATCCAGGCAATTTTTTTTTAACCTTTGCAGTGGGGTACCCTCGCACTGCAAGGGTTAACTGCTCGTTTTGGTCTTTGGTTTGGAAGGAAGATATTTGTAAAAAAGTTATACTCGGGGGGCGCATGCGCGCGCAGTGCCGCCAAAATGTCTTATCTCCCGAAACTGCTTTATCTATTCCGAGTGCTCCCAGTGACGGTACCCTCGCATTATTTGAACATATTTCAGGGACAAATCCTTAAATATATCTGGCAGGGCCGTAAGCCCAGGGTCTCTAAGTCGATTCTGCACCTGTCTCGGGGGGAGGGAGGCCTTGGAGTCCCCAATATAACCAAATATTACCAGGCAGCCCAAATTTCACAGCTAACGAAATTGCATGCGTCCACAGAGACACCCCTGTGGGTGGCGCTGGAAGTGATAGATTGCAGCCCTCTCCAAATACAGAACCTGTCCTACCATCTGTTCTGGTAGAGCCTGCAATGTTTGTACTTTCTGAATCTCTATATGCTAATAAAAATGTATTGAAATAAAAAAAAAAAAAAGTTATACTCATCCGATTCCCCCTCCGCCTCCACAGTCTGCTGTCCCAGAGACATCACATTCTATACAGTGTATAGGACGTGAGGACATCAAGAGACATACCATCGCTGTACTGGAGGAGGAGACAGGCTGGAGGGAGCGCTGTCAAAGCAGGCTAGCTTGGAGGTCTGGGCGAGAATACATTTGTTATTTTCCTCCCTAGACCAAAAGGAGCAGTTAACCCTTGCAGTCCGGGGTTAGCCCCACTGGAAGGGTTAAAGGAGAACTATGGGGTCAGTGTTTTTCCCCATAGTTCTCCTTAGGGTAACGGGAGGACACAAACTAGCGTCCTCCCGTCACGCTAAGCTCAGTATACCACGAGCTACAGCTCGCGGTATACTGAGACGCCGCAGCCGGAGCGGATCCCGACGTAGATGACGGGATCCGCCCCCAGCTGCGTGAGTGACAGCTGGCTCTGCCTATCTAGAGGCAGATCCAGCTGTACCCGCCCCCTCCCCCGTCCATTCCGCCAGTCAGCGCTGGCAGATCGGAGCGGGGAGGGGGGAATCCATCCCCTCCCCTGTCACGGCAGAGAGCCGTGACAGGATCGAGAGGTGAGCGAACGCCGGTATGTGTTCCCTCACCTCCCGATCTACTGAGCCGACCTGTGACCGTCTCAAATTCACAGGTCGGCTAGAACTATGAGGTGAGTGGAAATCACTCACCTCATAGTTCTCCTTTAATAAATATTCTGGCCAGAGTTCTTCTTTTAGCTGGCCATACACTTTTCAAAAACAAAAAAACGGGTCGTGTCGATTTTCCCAAACTCGCTGCCAGGCCATTGTATTCCGAGGGCGGTAGTGCTGTCAGAGTGCCCAAACTGTGACAAGATTTTTCAGACCGGCTGCCTTGACAGAAGTGGAATGAAAAATGCAGACTGGGCGAAATTTGGCTATGGCCGGCTTTAGCTCTCGGGGAGGAGTGATGCGTCAGGAGAGAGGAGCCTGGTAGCGCCATGTAAACCACACTTTCTCTACTTTTTCCAGAGGCAAGAGACAAATTCTCCTCCTGCAGCCATCTGAATGTGATATCTCCATACTGAACAAAAGCTCACGCAGGAAAAGTCACATGTAGTTATATCACGTTAAAGAACAACTCCGGGAAAAACGTTTATTAACCCTTGCTGCGGGGCTACCCCCGCAATGCAAGAGTTAACTGCTTGTTTTTTGTCTAGGTGCTGAAATAAAGTTACTCACCCGAACCTCGGTGCTCCCTCCACTTACACTTTCAGCACCTAGACGCAGCCTATACACTGTGTATTGGACGTGATGATTGTGAAGGCCTCATTCACACTGCTAAGAGCCGGCCCGTACAGATCCATGCGGCGTGCAAGGCCGTATCGGGCCATAGACGCAGACAGGATCCATCCTGTCTGCGTACGAGTGCGGACACCCGCACGGATGTACAGCTCGGGGGAGCGTACAGCCGCGTACTCCCATAGAGAAGAACAGGCTGCTGCGTGCAGCACCTGTCCTTCCCGGGAGCGGCCCAATACAGCCGTGCACACCACACGGATCTGTACGGTCCGGCTCTTAGCAGTGTGAATGACCGCTGCAGCAAAGGGGTGCGAGGCGGAAGGGACCGGTCTAACCAAGCCGCCTCCGGGGTTCAGAGGAGTATAACTCATTTTATTTCAGCACCTAGACAAAAACGAGCACTTAATGCTTGCAGCGTGGGGGTAGCCTCACTGCAAGGGTTAATAAAAAAAGTCTTCCATGTGAATTATAGCAATTTTATGTGGTTCTATTGCACACAAATTTACATCATAATAAAACACACAAAAAAAAAAAAAGAAAGAAAGAATTACAAAAAAATAGGGACAAGGACAAGACGGAGCTTATGCAAACCAATCTAACAATAAAACTGATCCAGGAGAAAAATCACCTTGAAAAGAAAATATATATTTTTTTTTTATCAAGCAATTAACGGCGTATACCCACTGGCAGTTTTTCTGCTCCAGCAGTATGTCAGCACAGAGGTGCATTCATGCTGGATAAATGGCTCTATATTTAGGCTGTATGTGAGCCATAAACCAGAGATTCGGAATGCAGTTGGGCCACAGGGACAGGAAGAAATCATTTACAGTACTTGCAGAATGAGGAATAAAAACCCAGATTTTCTACGATCAGATACTGTCACCTTCTCTGTTAAGGGCAAAGTGACAGTGTCATCGCAATGGGGACCACCCACCCAATTATTCTCACTTTGCCATCATGCAGGGTTGATGTTAAAGTGGACCTCCAGGCAGATATAAAATCACTGCTTGAATTTAAAAAATAGATTTAAAGCGATATTAAAAGTCAAAAAGGATTAAAGCCAGTTCAAATGCTGATGAAATCACTTACACTTACAATGGATGCTGCTGGTTATTGTTTAAAAGTTTCCTGCAGAAGCAGCTGGTCCCCTGAGCACTGGTCCTGATATCCTGTTTTAGGGGGGCTCCTTCCCCTTGTGGGGTCCTATGGAGCCACCCTTGTGTCTTGTGTCTCACCCTTGTGTCTTGTGGCTATGGAGCCACCCTTGTGTCTCTCCACAAACACACAGAAACAGCAAGGCAAGTCACTGCACTGCTCCCCACTTCTCCATTCCCTCCCCAGTCTTCTGACAGTGACCATTTTAACTAAGGGCAGGTTACTAGATATTCCTTTGCTTCCTGGAACTCTGGCACAAGTGAGAAGGACATGTGACCATGCACATCATCTCAGGTGAGAAAAATGCCTTTCCCTGAGATCTCCTGAGATTACAGATGAGATTTCCCAGCAATGTCTGCTGATGTAACCTTCCCAGGATGCAATGCTTGGGCACAGATTACATAATTTGTGCCAAAGTGGACCAGGAAGTGGAAAAAAGAAATAGGCAAGTAAAATAAAAAATATGTTTGTTTAGCTAATGAATGTAAGACGATTTCATATCAGAACGCAGAACTGTATGCTAATGCAACTTTTAGACAAAGGGGGGTAAAGATCCAATTTAAGATAAAATATCAGCCAATTATTAGTGAGAAGGAGCATAAAACATGACAATAGTGCAGCACTGCAAAGCAGTCAGCAAAGGCAGAGCACGTGAGTAACAAACATGGCTGCCCCCACATACATTATAAATACAAACTACATACAGAAACAAGATTTTAAAACTTAATTAAAATCAAAATGGTTTCATTTCCATAGTTATCAAAAAAAAAAACATTTAAGTCAAAGTTTAGGTGACAAGAATACCTTAAAGGTGTCTGTGAGAGGAATGCTCTGTTCTCACTCTCTCTTCCTATGCTCCCGTAGCTCTGTCCTGCCATAATGCCACATCTTATCCCGCTTAATACTGCATGACACACTGCTTCCTTTCATCGTCTTACAGCTAAGGAAGAGGCTCATGTAAGCAGACAGCCATAGCTTGTCATTTCTACAGAGCGGACATTTGAAAAACCGGGAGACCAAAGACGTTTCTCATAGTCCGGGCCCAATAGTATCTTTAGGGGACAGTCTTTGGAAAACTAATCATTTGAATTTTTGGCAGACAATGTGAGTTCAATTAACGGTGCGTCACCGGTCCCACCTGACTGCTAGACTGATCCCTGCAGTCTCTCTCCCCCTCCACTCTGGTAGGGAAATGTCCCTCAGCATTCTCACATCGAATACACTGCACTAGATATTATGGCTTACAAGTTATTAGACAGTCAGAGTGGAGCAGGAGAAGAGGCTGCAGGGATCAGTCTAGCAGGACCGGTCACCTAGGTCCCGAGGCAGAATCGAGAACTGGGCGAGTATCTCTTGGAGAGATCTGAAAAAAAAAATCAGACTCCTTTTGCAGTCCACCCCACTAACTCTAGTAATAAAACAAGCCTCTCATAAAACCTGCTCTATTCAATGTTTATCACATTTTTCAGTTACTCAGTCTATAAAAACTTTCAAAAAAATCCCTGAGGATTCTTCTAGTGAAAAGGTTTGCTTAGTATACAATACAGCAATGGAACCAAAAGACTGTGAAAGGAAACAAAACTTGCAAAATCAAATACATTTATAAGAAAGAAAAAAAAAAAAGATAACTACCAAATTTGTTATATAGACTCCCCATTTGAAAAGCTTTATATGAAAGAAACTATTTTTATACTATGCCCAATGTACGAATGTACGGCTCTTCCTGGTAAAAAAAAAAAGCCTGAGAAATTACTATGCAATATTGTTTGGAATAATGGGAACCTGCTCAAAGAGACAAAAAAGAGTAAAGAAGATAAAAGCTAATGAAGTTAAATTAAAGCCTTGAAGACTATGTGACTGTGACAGTGGTGTCCACCCATACATTATATATAATAGCTGTTTCATGCTGCAGCCAGTAGAACTTTTGTAATCTACAATCAAACTTGAAAAGTCGATTCTTTAAAAAATTACTAAGTCTAGTGGGTGAGCATCCCAGCTAAGGAATGAGTGTTTTCAAAAGATCAGCAGCCTCTGTATTTTTTTTCATATAAATGAAACTTTGCTTTACCCACGCAGAGCAGAGGAAAAAAAAAGTGTTACGCAACTCCCCTTAGCAAGAACTCATCTTTCCTCACTGCTTGTTTATTTGGCTGCTGGAAATGCAGTAAAATATTTGGCAATTCTAGGACCAGGTGAGCATGCGAATCATTCCTCTTCTTCCATGTGATGGTGCTGGTGTCTCCATTGGCCCAGCAGTGTCACATAAGCGCAGGTAAAGCATTCATAGCCCTGTGTAAGCTCTGACAAGTCGATTTAGAGCTTACACAGGACTTATTTTCACAGTGCTATCAGCCAAACTGAGCAGTGGGGAAGTGAGAAAAGGTTGTATATACACAGAGAGGATAGGGGGGTGGGGGGGAACGTGGGCATTTAAATTAGCCCTTTTTTTTGACCTTTGGGCAAAAGGAAAGGGTCATCCAACGTTTTCAATCGTCGATTTTAATCGACTAAATCGATTAACTGTTGCAGCTCTAGTCACTTTGAGTTGAAACCTAGACCCAATACTTAAATTAGGCCACAGCATGCTGAGCCTTAAATTGGTAATAATGTTAGGAAATATCAGCCCTTGATAAAGATGGAGGATATCTTAAGTGCTCACTGAACCATGAAGTACTTTTTTTCTCAACTTGGCTACAAGGAAAATAATGGAAAGTTACCTTGTCCATTCTTCTGCTTTCTTGGTCCTGCTTTCTTCTTGGACCCAGTAATTTCAGGCGGTGGAGTTGGCTGTTTGGTTACAGGTACAGGTTCCGGCTTCTTCACAGGAACCTTTGTCCCATTGACTTCCTTGTTAACCGGCTCTTTAACTACCGGCTCCTTGACTACCGGCTTCGGCAGCTTTTTCTCCTTCTTCTTGCGCTCCCGGACGCTGCCGATGGCCTCCGCAGGAATTATAGGAGCGGGAACGACGTGCTCCTCTTCACTAGACAAAGCATCTCCCAAATCAAACTCGTTTAGGGCCATCTCGGAATCCGACTCATGAAGGTTTTCGTTTTGTGGTTCTTTCTTTTTGTTCTTCTTTTTGTCAGTTTTCTTTTTGTCTACTTTAGCAGGGGGCAGCTTCTGGTCTTTCTTCTGCTTGGCAAGGATCTCATCATATGACGTCTCCTTCATAAAGAGCCAGAAAAAGAGCAGGAGGGCCGTGATCACCACAATTGGGAACAGGACAATAAAATAGGTTGACTCGTAAAACTCCATTGTGCTTTCTTAATCTTGTGTAGTAATTCTAACTGGAAAAGAAAAAAAAAAAAGTGATCAAAAATCAAAATTCGATGTACAAAAAATTAATTAGAAATACATTTATATAACAAATAACCCAAAATTTAAAAGCCAGATAACGAAACTGCCAACTTTGAGCCTGCTTTATCTGTGTTGCTTTTTAAAAAGGTGACGCAAGTGAAAAAAAGGTTGAGAAACGATGCAATGGACAATGCTCCAGCGCTGCGTAGTGGTGCCTTCAGGGAATTCAGTATCCTCAGCATTCTTAAGGTCCGTACCAGCCCCTCGGCCAGCTGGGCAGACACCGCTCTCCAAGCGCTCAGGGATCTGCCCACGTCTGTGTGCACAGCGCCCACGTGATCGGCCCTCAGCCTACTACTGCACATGCACAGGATTTCTGAATGAGAGCGCTGGGCAGTCTGCGCATGCACAGTAGCAGGCTGAGGGCCGATCACGTGGGCACTGTACACACAGGGTGGCAGATCCGGGAGAGCTTGGAGAGCAGTGTCTGCCAAGCTGGCCGAGGGACTGGTAAGGTAATGACTGCTGCTAAGCATCTGCGCGAGGGCAATGAGGTGCCTGCAGGGTGGGGGTCGTGTCACCATATTGTCAGATCCGTTTGGCCGACCTCGATGCCGATTGACTGGGAAGCCGGCTTCCAGGCCAATCAGCATCGAGCCAGCCAAACAGAATGGATTCGGCTTCCAGGGCAATCAAGAAGCCAGGCTGTGGACACGCCGCCTGGCTTCCTGATTGCCCGCTCTGTGCTACCGGGAGTACCAGTATCGGTACTCGGTATCGGCGAGTACCAAAATATAAATATCGGTACTTGTTAATGAAAAAAGAGTATCAGTGCATACCTAATTTTTATGATGGGGGCCCCACTTTAGCCCAGGGAAATGCAAATCTAGGTTTGTCGCTTGGTTTCATTGACTTCTAACAGCAAAGACAATAATTAGCTTTAATACTTCACACAAGCTACACAGGTATTAACAGTAATGGCAGCTGGGAATGTTCTCCTCTTTCATCAAAGGGAAAAGTTGAAAGTATTTTTTAGCAGCTATTACTCAGCTTTGTAGTTTGAAAAACTGCACTAGAAGTTTACCAGCCGGTCCCTTTAAACCCCAGTAACATATGTCTGCTGCAGTAGCAGCAGAAGAATGAAAAGCATTTACCTAGAGGGCATTTGGAGCGCAGAGATTATGGTGTTCAGCAAATAGTCTGATTGGATCAGGTTAATCAAGTGAAGCGCAAAAGAATTTCATGATGGCTGGCCTGTCGCTCATTAGGCTTGACAAAAACTCCCTTTATTATGCTCCCGTTTGCTTTTACAAGGCAATGGGAGCCTGGCAGAGCCTGGGCACACTGGCTGAGTGCAGAACAGTGATTGCATCCAGACTATACATACTATTGTCAGGGGCACGCCCTCATAGTACATAGGGCAGCTGACAGTAGGGGATTGTTCTGAAGTGGATTTAGAGCCGGATGTTTGTGTGCGTCTTACAAGATCATCCGACGTTATACAGTGAATTGGGCTTTTTTTTTTTTTTTTTACTGTTCTTGTAAATTGCTGGCCCTATAAAAATGCCTGTAAATAAATTAAATGACTGGCAAGAGACAGCAGCCTCTTGCCAGTCACCCTGTGCTGTGTGCCCTTCCCCTTTGAATTACCATTTAATGTAGAGTGTAGTACAGGCAGGGTTTTATTTTTTTTCTAAATGATCAGGAACATGCATAATTAAAAGGATTTGTTCCCAAGCATGCATAATAAAAATGGACTACATAATTAAGTCAAGAAAAAAAAATTCTAAGCCTAACCCTGCAGTTCATGCAAAGGAAGGCAAAAAAAATCCTTATAAAAAAGTGTGGTTGAATTTTCTCTAACAGGAATCAAGCAGGTATACACATTCTATAACAAATCTGTCTTTAAAATATTACTAGCCATTTATATTTTGCATCTAGTCATCACCACGAAGCAAGTATTTTCAAGACTTAAGGCCTACACAGGGTTAAAGACTCCTATCCCCAGATGAAAGTGCTCAGTGGCTAAGCAGCCAATTGCCAGGTACTAGCACTGCCATGCAGTAAAAAGGAGGGATGCATCAAATGTTTCTCCATACCCAGAAGTTTGGCAGATTTTCCTTTTGTCAAGAAAGCCAGAATGGTGGGGAACAAAAGAAAAAGGAGAATATGAGCTACTCATGTACTACTCATGTACTATGAGGGGACCTGGTTTTCCCTGCATGGTCAAGGCAGGATTTCCCTTTAAACTGAACCTTTTCATTCTCCAAGCATGTAAACCTAGCGGTACCTTCATTATCTGCTCCATTATCAACACACATCTTTTCTCAAACCGTAATTCTTTAAAAATTGCTATTACGCATATGCAAAGCCCAGATTTATATCTCTAACCACTCCAATGGCTGCTGACGTATGCACAGAGCAGTGACACGATAGTCACAGAAGGTGCGACACGCAGGCTGGGGTTGCCAGCTTCACCTTCTCTATACTGTGCATTGACTGGCAAGATAGTGGCACCCAACGGGCCAATGACTGGGTCACAGTTGACTAGAAGTATCGTTCCCATTCGCAGATTATGAACCAGTGAGCCATCTATAAGTTGAACACTTGACATTTGGCAATAGTTTCTATAAACACTTAAGAAAAGGGTTGCCGTGAAGGTATAATATGCTTCATTGATAATGATTTCTAGTCACCAGATATGCTCTATTTTTATTGACATAGGTTCGCCAAATAAGCCGATTTCATTGTGTACCCTTGACCCGTACTCTTAATATCAGTTCGCTAATGGAAGTGTTGCAGCCTGATCGGCCCTGTGAGTGCTGTGTGTTGGCTCCTCACATCCATCCCCCTGGAGGCGGACGGTCGCTGGGTTCATGAAGTGCAGCGCAGCATAAACTTGTTATCCTTTTTAAATAGGCTTAACTAAATCAGCCTGAACGTTTTCACAGCTCTGCTTATTCTGCTACTCATATGTAAACCAAAGTGTGCTTTAAGCTGTCCTTTTCAACCCTTGGTTGCCTCCCAGATGCTAGTTTATTAGCGTACAACTAAACAGAGAAACACCGATATGAGTAACTAGTAGAAGACTGAATGCACTACAAATCGAAAAGAGAATCACACAACCAGCTATAATAGCCATTACCTACTGTGAAGGTGTGTGTGTAGGTGTGTGTGTGTAGGTGTGTGTGTGTGTAGGTGTGTGTGTGTGTGTGTAGGTGTGTGTGTGTAGGTGTGTGTAGGTGTGTGTGTAGGTGTATGTGTGTGTAGGTGTGTGTGTAGGTGTGTGTGTGTAGGTGTGTGTAGGTGTGTGTGTAGGTGTATGTGTGTGTAGGTGTGTGTGTAGGTGTGTGTGTGTAGGTGTGTGTAGGTGTGTGTGTAGGTGTATGTGTGTGTAGGTGTGTGTGTAGGTGTGTGTGTGTAGGTGTGTGTAGGTGTGTGTGTAGGTGTATGTGTGTGTAGGTGTGTGTGTAGGTGTGTGTGTGTAGGTGTGTAGGTGTGTGTGTGTAGGTGTGTAAAAGTCATACAACTGAGTGGTTAAATTCCATTATTTATTGTTAAGCACATAAAATACAGTAGGGCTGCAACCAACCAATCAATAATAGTTTGTCAACTATTCTCATTATCGATTACTTGGTGTGGATCCCCTAATTCTCTCCTCTGTGCTGGGAGCCGGTGTTTCATCGGCTCTGTGTTCTCTCCAATTCCCGTTCCTCCCAAGCTGATGACCAGGCTTTCATGTTTTTAAATATATAAATAAATACAAAAATTTATAAAGAATTCTATTTTTGGTCCAATTGTGGTGTGTTATTCTCAAATAAAAGATTGCTTATTATATTGGTTTAAAGTTTTTCAATTTAGCTTATATTAAATCCATGAAACTAAATAAAAATGTCTAATATAGTGAATGCAATTATGAAAAAAAAAAAGTAAAAATAGGTGGGGGGGGGAAAAAAAAGTAATTTTCGGTTTTGGCCTGAAACTCTGCTATGGGTGATACTGCAATGCCGAACGGTCCAGTGTCGTGCAATTGCAAAAAATAGCGCATGCAGTTTTATCTTAAGTAAATGTTATGTTTTTAACACTCCATTTGTGCATTTTAAATAAAAGATGGTATTCATTTTTATATCCCATTAATCGAAAAAAATTAAATCGGCCAACTAATCGTTTATTAAAATAATCGCTAGTTGCAGCCGTAAAATACAGTCGTGTTTAGCGGGATTGGGCCATCTCTTTCGGTAGGATTCTGGCTATATGGTGAACTGGAGCTGGTGTCGGGGTTGCTTGAGCTTGCATTTACCAGGTCTACTGTACTGGTCCATGAAAATTGGAAAAACTCAAGCAGCATGGAGACCAGCCCCAGACATGGTATGACTCTTCGGCTGAAGTGCTCCTTACCCAACACACACTGATGTCACTCGCTGAACATCAAGCAGTCAGACTGGGTCTTTCATGAGTTGAGCAGCCATGGGCTGACACATGGGCCCTACCCAGCAATACCATTAAACCCTTAACTTTGGGTTCAAGATACCAGCACAAGAAACTGGCCTTTTAGCACTATTATGTGCACCCAATTCTGGCTCAGAATTGACAGCCATGTAAATCCTTGTGCCTGTCCAGTTTCAGACAGTGGTGGGATTTCACCACGGCTGGAGTGCAGAGTTTGCCAACCCCTGCCATAGAGCGTGCCTTGAGTTATAGCTCTGAGTTTGCAAGGACTGCTGACATAACATACAAGATGGCGGCGTCCAGTGTCAGGGCTTTTAGGTGTCCACACAAGGCAGGCTTTTGCAGATAAAGAACCTGCCATATCAATTAAATGTACATAAAGTACAATCTAACGGGAAGATTGTTGGTGAAATAAATGGTCTGGCAACAGGGTCTCCAAGCATGATGCATTCATCATAAGCAAATGCCACTAGGATTCTACATGCACAAAAAGTGTCACAGAGTGCAGCTTATTGCATGAGACTTGACTTGGTGAGCTGGT